TTAAGAAATAGCTTTTATTATTATTAATTTTTTTTCATACTATTATTCTTTCTCCTTTTTTTTATTTTACTTTTCATTTCTTTTTTATATTAGCTAGTATATCTTCATTAAGCTATTATTATGCTATGCAATTCCTCTTAAACTTCGATAGACTATTTGTAATTAATAAGCTATTTAAGATTATGGCTAATTTAAGTTTCTTTAAAATTATATCATGGTTTTACATATTACTATAGACTATAAGTTATTGATTATTGTAAATTAAGGTATATGATGTATCATAATATATTTGTATGATAGAATATTAACTTTTTTCACTATCCTTTTACCAACCCAAAAAATAGACATTTTCAAAAGACTTTTTTGTTTTTATGATAATAAAGTCTATATATTATCCTTAACAATACAGATTTCTTAACCAGCAGAGTAAGCAGAAGCTACCACTTGTTTTATTTTTTTTTTTCAAAACACTTTTCTTGTTTATTTTGGTAACTAAATACAAGAAACCTATCTAAAAGGTTTATGGCAAGAGCACCTTTCTAGGAAGAAAACTAACAAGAAAAAACATTCTTCAAAGACTCCCAAAAGATTCAAGAATCTAGAAAAACAAGAACAAAGAAGTCTTCAGTATTTTTATTATTTCTTTGGCTTCCTTCTTCTTTTTTCTCAAGGGTGTTTTTTTTTTTCTGGTTTTTTTAAAAAATTTTGCCTATCTCAGTTGACACTGGATTTTTGGTTACACTGGATCTCCTGAAAGATGATTGGTTAAGGCCATGGATTGGTTAATCACATCAGCCTCAGAAAAAGTAAACAAGACACATACTCCTCACATGTTTCCAGTCGCGCAACATCAAACTGATGATGTGATTGGTTTTAGAAAGAGTTGAATGGTTTTTGGTTGAAGAAATAGTATGGGAGTATTAGATGAAGTAGAAGTTGTTAGTAGAAGAGGAGTAACACCTTTTTTTTTTTATCCTTTTATTTTATTTTTTTATTTTTTATTTTTTTTTGAGAACAGGAAGTAGTAACAAGATCTAGGTCCTATTCCAATCTGGTAACAAGTTGAAGTACCAATATTTATTACAAAAATGGTTAGAGAAAGGAATTTGAAACTATCTACCAGTTGAGTGAAGCAATAATTCCAGAAGACATGGCTTGGGAGTGCAATCAATAATAGAAAACCAACATTCTTTTTGATTAGAAGTCTTCAAGTATAAAGTTTCAAGAAATACTTTTCTGAAAGTACACTTAAATATTTTTGGACATCGATTACTTCAATAGAAATTAAACAGTTTAACTGGTCATAAGTGGTAAGAAGTGGGAAATCATGAGAGATTTGGGTTTTAAGTTCACTGAAATAACCTTTTCAATGATAGTTAGAATAGATAATAGCTTTTTTTTCTTTTCTCTTTGTTAAAAAATTTCTTTTTTTATTTCCTTTTCCCCTTGCGTAGTTTCTACAAGAGTGGGTGACACAATTTGAATTTATGGTTGTGACTGTAGAAGTGATCTGCAGGTTTTGATTTTATTGAAAGTTTGGGATTTTAATCCCATCCTTTAGGGAACAATATATTACTCCATAAATTGTATTTAGAGGCTTTGGCTAAAGACAAGTGAGTTGGATTAAGGAAATTTGTACTTTGTATATATTCTTGTACATGTAATGGTTCCTTGTGATTTAATAAATAAACGACACCAACCTGATTGCTGGATTAAAAAAAAAAAAACATAATATATTTGTATGGTTATGCACTATATCAGTTCTCCATCAACAATAGTAATAAGTTAAATAAGAAAAAATAGTTAATAATTAAGTTAAAATTGTTAATTAAAGTATTGGAGTTATTGTGATTTATAATTATAAAATAAATTAACAAAGAAAGAGGATAAGAGCAAACTTTAGTTTAGAAGTGTTTTCTTGATTATAAGAAATTCAAAAAGTTTGTTAAAGGAGAAAATTTTATGGAGCTCAAGAATATTTATAGAAAAAAATTGTTATTATATAGTAAGACACTTAGCAAGAAAACTTTTCTTTCTTTTAAAATTTAATTAATGACTATTGGGTCTTTTGAAAGTAATGTTAGAAAAATCTGAAACTCTTTAAAATTTGTAGATTTTTGATTAATTGTTTAAGATTTTTATCTTGTGAAATATATTGATTGATATTTAGTATTAAATTAACTTCTGATATATTAAATGATAGTTTGGATTTATTTGTTTAGAAAATATTAGGAAAGATTTATTGGAGTCAAGAGAAAGAGAGAAAAAAAAATTAGATTTTAAATATTTGATAAGATTTTTTTTTTTTAAAACTAAAGTATCAGCCTTTTCTTTTATTTATAAGAGATTACTGGAAAGCAATATTTATAATTACAGAAGGTTGAACTACATCTCTCTTTGCTAAGAAGAGTTTAATGCATGATACAAAAAATTGAACATTCTGCCTTAGTTTAACTAATCACTCAAGCAATAGAAAAAAACAATGAAAATCCTATAAGCTCTTGAGTAGTGGCCAGCCCAGGCCTGGCAAATTTGTATAGTACCTAGACACATAAAGGCACTGCAGCCAAATATATAGGTTGGCCTCCAAATCATGGCTAGGATTTGCATGCTTGCTTTCTAGCTTTGGCTTGATGTATGGCAAGTAAAGAGTGGAGTAGGAGAGAGTTGATTTTTTTTTTTTACGCATGAAGACACTGCAGCCACTTTTTACAGGTTGGCTTCCAAGTTATGTAAAGAGTTTGGAATATCTATTTTCCAAGTGTGGCAGAAATGTCCAATAGATAAGTTGGATTGGAATTTCTTAAAGATATTATTACCTAATCATGCACATGGACCTACATTGTCAAGAGGTAAACAAGGAACTTTTGTTGTCGACATCAGCTCTGTTTGCAGGGTAACTAGAATCCCTGGTTATCACATATCATCTTACTAGGTATTCCAGACACCAGTATGACACTTGTAGAATTCTACACTGGCATTGGCAGCCATATAACTGGATACAGTAGAGTGCAACTCCCTGGGAGTTCAGATGACAATAGTTGTACAGTGGCTTCTTAGATGTATCTAGTCTAACTATCAATAAGTAAACAATGCCAAATATGATAATAATGATCATGTTGATCTTTTGAAAGGAATAAACTATCTGTCTTTTTTCTAAAAAATTATGAAAGCAATATACTTTTTAAGGCTTACAACATAAAAGAAGTTACTACTTCTTAATATGATTCTTGAAAAAAGGGAGCCAACTGGCCAGAGGGGTGATGAAATGGAGAGCAACAGTTTTAAGAGAAAGAGAGGCCTAGAAAGGAAAAACTTCAGGGAAAAGAAAAAGATCTAACTTTGGCAGAGAATAAGAAAAAAAGAAGAGGGGGAAGGTATATATTAAAAAAAAGGTTTGTAGAAGAGAAGGGAAAAGAAAGGAAGAAGGAAGAAAAGAATAATAGAAAGAGGAAACAGTATTAAGGAAAAGAGAAGAGCAAAGAAAGAAAACAACTTAAAAATTTCCTAAAAAGAAAATTTTTAAGTGTAGAAAGGGAAGTGGAAAAGAGTTTTTTTTTTATTTGATGAGATTTTATGTATCAGAAGTTTCAATTATAAGAATTTGTATATTTAAAATTAAGAAATTTTCTTGGATTGATAGTAGTTCTTGTAGTAGAGAGTTTTTAGGTTTAAAAAAATATGTAAAAAAATATTTGAAGAAATTGTATTTAAAAGAATTACAAACTGACTTATAAGTCCATAGCACAATAATTAGTACTTTACTAATCAAATTACAAGATATTGATTCAACTTTAAATAAAAACAATTGAATAGTATAATTTGATATTTAGTGCTATAACCTGTTAAGTACTATTTCTTATATGAAGCTAATTCATATGCTGATCTAGCAGTCATTGAGGTTGTGATTTTCAAAAAAGGTAGCATGATGTAATGATCATTCGGTTGATGCTATAATGATTGTCAGAAACTGTTTTATGATAGTTTGATTAAGTGAAATAAAGTCACTTATTAAATTTTTTAATCAAAACTTCTCTCATATTTAAATATACAAATTGGACTGTACTCTATTCTAATTAATTCCAATAATCTGTCTTTTCTTTTTCTATCAACTATTAAATAAAAAACCTTGAAAAAAATACTATATTAATATTAATATTTTGTATGTATAGATTTTTGACAACTTATTATGTATATAATACATTATATAAAGATATCTTTATTATATTAGTTATATAAGCAAAAGGATATAATATGATAGATAACTTATATAAATAGTTGATAATATCTATTGTTTCCTTTTAAAAAATTAAATTAATAGATTTAATAGTTTAAATCTAGTAATAGGATTTTTATCTCTTAAATAAGTTCTTGAAAATAATATGATATATCTTAAGGGCAAATAGTATATTGTTAAGTATAAAAATAGATAAACTAGCATTTAGTTATTATAATAACAATAGAAGATATTTGATATAATATAATTAATAACCTTCAATAAAGTTTGTATCTAATATTATTTTACTATAATAAAAAAAAGAATTATAGACTTGTATAAGTTTGAAATTAATACAAATTTTAATTTGAGATTTAAGTGATAAAATAAAAATAAATATTTAAATTAATTCTATAATTAAATCTTTTCTAATATTAATTAAATCAATAGTTTAAATTAGTAATAGAATTTTTATATTTTATTTTTTAAATTATAAGATATTTTTTTTATAATATTTAAAAATTTTTAACTAAAAAATTGCTTTTTATTTATTTTTTTTAAATAATCAAAATATTTTTCTAAAAATTTATATAATACTTGTTTTAATTACATATTATTTATTGATAGTATTTATTTTTTATTTATTTAATAAAAATTTAAAATTTAATTCTAAAAAAATTTTAATAAAAGTTAATCTTAGACAAACTTAAAATTTTTTTAAGTAAAAAATAACTTTAATTATTATGTAAATCTTGCAATTGAGTGAATTCTTTATTGATATATTATGATATACAGTATATTACATTGATACAAATTGATATTAGAAATTATTCTAAAAGACTTGTACAAGTCAGTAACTAAAGCTACTCTATATAGATTATCTCAAGTAAGCATCTTCTTTCAGGTAACCAGACATTTGTTGCTTGACAACTTGTACTCAATTTATCTAGAAACAGATCAACAAGGAGTAGAAATCTTGCTAACTAGTTTAAACTACCTAAACTGTCTTAATCCATTTTTAAATAAGAAGAATCATGTTTTAAGAAAATTGGTTCAAGTACTTCTATTATCTTGTTACCTAAATCTTATAATGTCATACACCCATAGCAAGGTATACTATAATACTTCTTATCACCTGTGGCTAGTAAACTATTTAAACTTTATATCATATTAAAATAGCCTAGGCTAGGATTTAATTATCATATGAGAAATGAAATGATTGGATTTTGATTAGAATAAAGTATAGCCTATCTGTGTATGCAAACACAAGAAGAATCTTGATTAAGAAAGTCAGATGCATGCTTCTTAGCTTACTATGTTATTTGATTACCATAGGCATGCTTCTAGCAATCATCATAGTATTAACTGGATGATTGTTGTATCTTGACACTTTTTCTAGAAATTACAATCTCAATGCTTACTGGATCAATATATAAAATAGCTTTGTATAAGAAACAACATTTGATAAGTTATGGTGCCAGATACTATATATATTCTATTTAATCACTTTCACCTGGAATTAAACTGGTATCTTGTAATCTGATTTGTGGAATACCAACTATTGTATTATGAACCTACAGGTCTTTAAATATTAGAAAATTATAAATTATATAAATAATAGATTTATTTATTAGTAATGTTTTGATTTTCAGATATAATTTTTTAATATTAAATATAATTAACAATAATAATCTAATTTTTAAAAGATTACTATAAATATAAACATATATATTTAAATTTTTTAAAATTTTTTATATATTTGCTAAAATTTTGATATTTAAAAATATAAAATAATAGAAAATATATATATATATAACTAAAATTAAAATTAAGTCAAATAAATTATAGAATCTATAAGTAGAAAACTAATTATTTTCTTAAAAGTACTTTTAAACAAACTTTTTGTTCTATCTCTTTGGCTTTTTAGTTATTATAGATAATAGAGTATATGTAATATTATTTGTTATTATAGTTATCATTGTTGTAATAATTAATTTCATTGTTAAAATTGTTATTATTATAATTATTATTATTGTTGAGTTAACAAATTGATTTAAATTGATATTGTTTATTTTGTTAAGGTGATATAATAAATTTTAATCAAACAGTTTTTAGGCATTAATCAATTGAAGAAAATAAATTAATTTTAGTTTTTATGATTGAAAAAAATTGTAAATTTTTTTAAATAGTACAATAAATATTATTAAAATAAAATTTTGAATAAAGGTTATATTAAAATAAATATTAGATATTATATCTTTTATTTGAGTATATTTTTTTAAAAATAGTTTGTTTAGCAAGTATAATAATATTGATATGAATAGTTTTTATAATATAGTAAGAATAAAAAGGTATACAAAAAAACAAAAGAAGAAAGAACTGTTATAAATCTTTTCTCATGTAATTGAAGGATAAGCAAGATCTCAAACTTGAATAAACTTCAATCAGAAGTTTTATCTTACTGCACTAATTGTTTTAAAGACTTTTGAGTTTTTGAGCTGGGACTTATAATAAAGAATGTAAAACATATTTTTTTGCTTAAAATTATTATAAAAGAAAATTTTTTAACAAAATAAATATGATCAAAAGTATTTATAAAATATTATTATTAATTAAATTAGATTATATTACTTTTTAATTATTCAATATATAACAAATAATTTATTAATAATTTATTATATATTTATAAATAATTTAATAATTATTGTTAAATTAGAATATATTAAATTATTGTCAATACTTAATAATTTATTAACAAATTTTTATTATATATTGAATAATTAATAAATAGTATATTATAAAAAACAGATAAAATTAAAATTTTTTTGATTTGAAGTATCTAAACTAAGTGAATAAATATTTTTATCTTATTTATCTTATAAAAAAAGGTAAAAAATTCAATTTAAATATTTAATGAATAATTAACAAAAATAAAAGTTAGTTTATATACAATATATAGTATTATTTTTATTTGAATAAAATCATAAGATATGTTTTAAATAAATACAAAAATAAATAAAATAAAATAAAATAAAAAATAGTGATTTATTATTTGAAATAATATATTTCCATTTAACATACATGTATTTAAAGGTAATAGTTGTAATTATATGGGAAAAAATCTAAAGAAAATATAATGTTAATTGTATAATTTCTACTTTTAAATTCAATAGAAACAGTATAAATATTTGAGAATATTTTTACAATAAATGATTAATTTGAATTAATGGTTAACTAATAACAAATAACTATATAAAAATTTTTAACAATAATTTATTATTATACTTAACAAAATTTTTTAATTATTTATTTCAAGATAATAATTGTTTAACTTATTGTTAAAGAATAGATGAAAAAAAAATATTTCTTGTCTTCCATAGTTCACTCAGAATCCAAATCTTAATCCTATTGAACATTTTGAGATGAATTAAAATGTCAGGTTCATAAATACAATCCTTTACCAATCAGTAAAACAGAATTGTTCAATTTCTTGCAAGAATGGTTTAATATTGACAACTCAAATTATAAAAATCTTATATTAAGTATGCCTTACCATGTTAAGGCCATTAAAATTTCCAAAGGCAATCCTACAAAACATTAATAAATAGATAAGTAATAGTTTTTTAATATTTGGTAAAAAATTTAAAGTACTAGTAGTATATACATTTTTAAAAAAATAAAATAAAATAAATCAAATTCGATAATCAATGTCAGGGGAGTGTACTTTTTTCAACATTTATTATAAATTAGCCGATGCCCTACTCAAGAAGAGTTGTACATGCTTTGGGAAAAATGATCATCTATTCGGTAAGATAGATATCATAAAACGATGTTTTTTTCTTATAGAATGAGCATCTGGAATGCACTAGTTATAATTCGGTTAAAAAAGAGTTTTTTTTTTATAATGTTGGCATGAAAAATGATAGGTAGAATGGAACGCGATATGGGACATGGCGCGCGATACATGGACGGGACTCGATGCATCAGCTAAGGATGCTTTTTAAGACGCGACGATCGATTAACAGACGTATCGTGAGTAATATAAATAACTGTAAATTAGGAATCAAGAATAATAGGAAATTGCGTCATGCCTTGTATCCATCCGATTTATAATCTGCACAACAGTTTAATTAACAAACCTTGCCTTTCTTGCCATCGTGTAATAGTTTCGCCGGATTCGTGGGCCAAGATAGTGGATGAATTGTTAATTAAACAAAAGTAAGACTAGAAACTCAAGAAATAAACGGAGACTTACCTCACCGTATCATAACCTGATGTGAGTTCTGGTCCCGGGTTAGTGACAGACAGCCGATAATGGCAACAATAATAATGTAAGATACAGTCGACTCTCGATAACCGGATGGTTACACGGCGATGGTGATCCTATTACTGTATAAACAACATAAGTTCATCGAGTAATTGTATTCCGTTTAGAACTTTTAGAATTTCTGAAATCAGCGGATGTTTATAATATGCACTATAAATTTCAGGACATAGGACAGAAAAATGCACCGAAAATATAAATAATTACGGTACACGAAAATAATTTTGTATAGGTGCTTCACAGGTGACGCACAAGTGCGGTAAGGAGCGACACAAAGGAACATTTTTCTGCGTCCTAAAATAGCAACTTAAACTTTACTCATGCATACTGTATATTCTCTTCGGAATAGAATTCCGTACCGTTATACGGTAAATCGAAACCCGATTCACCAAAAATACGTCTTAAATTGATTGTCAAATCGCAAAAAGTTGATTCTTTTTTTAAAAAATAAATTTTCTCGGAGAAAGCATGGATTCACAAAACTTTTCTAAGAAAGAATGTGATAGGTGCCCAAGGTGTAACAAAAGTAGTAACGGCGACTTGTGTACAGATTGTTTTTCTAACCAATTTCTGCCTACTAATAGCGGAAATTTAGAAATTGACAATTTAATTAAAGAAACACATGGAAATAATATTCGATATAGATTAGAATGGATCCCATTTGGAGATTTTACAGATGCTCGAAAAGTTGCAGAGGGTGGATTTAGTATTGTATACATCGCTAAATAGATAAAAGGAAGAATTACGAGTTATTACAGAGGAAAGCTTAATCGGAAAGGTTCTATGGAGATTATATTAAAAGTCCTTAAAGATTCTCAAAATATAAACTCGTTATTTATAAAGGAGGTAAAGTAAAAGTTTTCTCTTACTTAATTCGTAACTATAAGAATATTAAAGTACGTTGAATATTTTATTAGTTGCACAATATTGCTAAAACACAACCCAACTCTTCTAAGCGTTATCTTGTTCATTGTTACGGAGTATCTCAAGATCCAATAACAAAAAATTATATATTTGTGATAGATTATATGAAAAATGGAAGTTTGCACGAATATTTTCCCAATAATTTTGATGCTATCAAATGGATGGACTGGGGAGAAAGTAAAAAAATAAAAGTAAATTTCCTAAGAAGTCTTGTTATTGGAATTAAATGGATTCATCAAAATAAGATCATACATCGCGACATACACAGCAGAAATATATTAATACATGAAAATGATGATTCATTAATTGCTGATTTGGGATTTAGTCGACCCGCAAACGAAGATCCAGAATCAAGTGTATACGGAATTATGCCATATATCGCACCTGAGATATTTAATAAAAAACAATTTTCATTCAGTTCTGACATATACAGTTTAGGAATGATTATGTGGGAATTGACGACAGGGTATCGCCCTTTTAATGATCGAACGCATGATGCCAATCTTGCGTTAGATATACAGTATGTAGAGGTCTGCGTCCTGAAATTACAGAAGATACACCGGATTTGTGGGCTAGTTTAATGGAAAAGTGTTGGCATCAAGATCCTTCACAGAGACCTTTAATTAATGAAATACATCAAATAATATAATCTTCAGAATGGGAATTTAGTGTGGCATTTTACGATGCAGAAAAAACACGACAAGAAATAAAATCAAAAAAATTTATACAAGAACAAAGAATTTTTAGTCAGTTATTAGATCCTATCATAGAAAGTACAAGTTATGCTTTAAATTTATTTACGAGATCAGAGTCATTATTGGGTAATTATTAACTCATTTTTTTTATAAATATAGTTAACAAAACATTAACCTACAAATTATTTTTAGTGTCTTCTTCTGTATGTTCTTTAGATATTATGAGAGATGCGTAAGTAAACATTTTACATATGAAAAAATTATGAATTAAATGACTAGGTTTTACCAATTCATTATTTTATCCAGTCCCGATCTTATAGGAAACGCTAATTGTTTGAACAATAGTAAAAATCTATCGACTTCATTGAAGCACACTATTGATTTCCCGCTAAATGAAAAAAATAGTAAGTTTAAATTTTGCTAAACAGATATTTCTTATTGATATATACAGTATATACTATATTACATACTGTATAATAGTCCAAATAAAACGCAGAAAATTAGTTAATTATAATGAAGCAACCACATATTATGGTAATGTATTTTATATTCAGATTGTTTCGTTTCTAATTACTGTATTGATTTTATAGTTTTATGAAATTTTCCTCTTGAAAAAATATTAGAACCAAATTCAGTTAAAAAAAATAATGGTGTGTTATACATTAAGATATGTTTAAGAATAACCTCATTTAAATACTGTACATTAGTAGATAAACCAGCATCAAATTTACTTAACCTAAGCGAAATTATGTTAAATAATGATGGAAAGGCGTTGGCCGATTATTTATGCGGAGATGTTATAGTAACTGAGTTAACCATGCGTGGTGAAAATCTACGTTATAAAATAGTCGGAGGGTTGGTTATAGCTTTACTTAAGAATGTCCCCCTGACCAATTTGGTTATAAGATATGTTGAAATAGAAGAATCAGCGGGAAAAGCACTGGCTGAGGCACTATGCAAGAATAACACCCTGACACATTTGATTTTGCAGATTAAAAGTTTACAAGAATCGGTAGGAAAAACACTGGTCGAGGCACTATTTAGGAATACCACCCTGAAATATTTGAATTTATGTGATACCAATTTAGGAAAATCTGCAGGAAAAGCACTGGGTGAGTCACTATGCAAGAATAGAACCCTTACTAATTTAGATATTAGCGGGATTTGGATAGGAGAATTGACAGGAAAAGCACTGGCCGAAGCACTATGCAAAAATAACACCCTGACATGTTTGAATTTGAGTTATATTAGATTAGAAGAATCGGCAGGAAAGGCATTAGCTGAAGCACTATGCAAGAATGCTACCCTAACGTGTTTAAATTTACGGAATACCAATTTAGGAAAATCGACAGGAAAAGTACTGGCAGAGGCACTATGTAAAAATAACACCCTGACACATTTGAATTTGTGGGATACCAATTTAGGAGAATCGGTAGGAATAGCACTGGCCGAGGTACTATGCAAGAATACCACACTGACACATTTAAATTTGCGGGATATCAGTTTAGGAAAATCCGGAGGAAAAGCGCTGGTCAAAGCATTATGCAAAAACTCCACCCTGACATATTTAAATTTACGTTATAATAAACTAAAAGAATTAACAGGAAAAACACTGGCCGGTGCGCTATGCAAGAATAACACCCTGACATGTTTGAATTTGCGGCGTACCGGTTTAGGAGAATCGGCAGGAAAAGCGATTGCCGAGGAACTATGCAAGAATTCCGCCCTAACATATTTAAACTTGAGTTATAATAAACTAGAAGAATCGGTAGGAAAAGCACAGGCCGAGGCACTATGCAAGAATGTCACCCTGACATGCTTGAATTTGCGAGGTACTGGCTTAAGAGAATTGGCAGGAAAAGCACTTGCCGAAGCACTATGCAAGAATTCCACACTGACATATTTAAATTTGAGTTATAATGAACTAGAAGAATTGGCAGGAAAAACACTGGCCGAAGCACTATGCAAGAATGTCACCCTGACATGTTTGAATTTGCGGCGTACCGGTTTAGGAGAATCGGCAGGAAAAGCACTTACCGAGGCACTGTGCAAGAATACCACCCTGACTAATCTAGATATTAGTACTAATTGGATAAGAGAATCGGCAGGAAAAGCACTGGCAGAGGCACTATGTAAGAATACCACCCTGATAAGTCTGAAATTACGGGGTACCGGTTTAGGAGAATCTGCAGGAAAAGCACTTGCCGAGGCATTATACAAGAATGTCACCTTGAATAATTTAGATATTGGTGGGAATTTGATAAGAGAATCGGCAGGAAAAACACTTGTCGAGACACTATGCAAGAACACCACCCTGAAATATTTGAATTTGTGGAATATCAGGTTAGGAAAATCAGCAGGAAAGGCACTGGCCGAGGCACTATGTAAGAATAGCACTCTGACTAATTTAGATATTGGTGGAAATTGGATAGGAGAATCGGCAGGAAAAACACTGGCCGAGGCACTATGCAAGAATACCACCCTAAAATATTTAAATTTGCGGAATACGCAGAGGCACTATGCAAGAATACCACCCTGACTAATTTATATATTGATGAGAATTGAATAGGAGAATCGATAGAAAAAGCACTGACTGAAGCACCTTGTTAGAATAAATAATACCCTGATCACTTTAAATATATTTCAGAAGATCTGCGTGAAAAAAAATTGTAGTGTGTTGGTTTGTTTTTAAATAAGAATTTTCAATCAAATTTTTTATATCATTCTATATAATTTCAGTTAGATTAGAAACAAATACAAAGAGATAATCTTTTTCTATATAAATAAATATTACAATAAAGAAAAATTTTGATATATGCTTTATTAAACTAATACATAAACTATATAGTGTATAGTGTCGTGGGCTCTCCAGAAAGCCCACGCTAATTGTCGTCACTTTGGTTCACAATAAGGTAAGTTTCTAACTCTTGAGGCGTGTTTCCAATTTGGCCGTTCTCTCACTTTAAATTCTCTACCGACTAGCCTAGAACCCTTCCAGTGCCAATTCCCTTAGGCAACTCTCGGTTCTCTCTTGTAGTCGCGTAGCCCAAGTTACAAGTCTACTTTGGCACACTAAACACAAGGCAAGAGTTTATTCTTTAAGCGTTACTAAACTTCTAAAATCCGTCTACATGCTACTGAATGGCGCATGTATTTATACATGCGCCTGTTATTTACATGTTTACATCTGATCGCTATTCTACACTACTCTAGAAATTTCCACCACTAAACTTTCCCACACCTTAATTTATCCACCTCTAACTTTTTCCACCGTCGATCTCATAACACACTAATTACGTGACGCGGCGGCGTGTCACGTTACTGCGCCTACTTTTTTTACCCAATACAATAGTATGCAAAAAAAAGAAAAATAATATGTATTCTATTCATAATTCAATATTAATTAACAAAATAAATAGTCTTACTAATAAATAGTTATATTGTATATACAGTCCCCTCCAATAAATGAAGGATCATTTAAGAATTACTATTATTAATTAAAAATAGTTAAAATTTTTATTTTTTAATAAAATAATTCTTTTTTTTTAAAGTAAATAAAAATCATCACTTTATTAAATTGTAAAAATATGAATATTTCACACATGAAGAAAGTGACAACATTTCTCACATGACCAATTAGCCAGTGAGTTTAATGCTAACTTGCCTATAGGAAGCTATATAAGCAATAAATGAAAATTAATATTAAAACCAATATATATCAAAGATAGTGCCAAGCAATTATAAATACCTATTCAGAGTTATATGTAAAAAGATATAAGAAAATAAAAGAGAAACAAGTTAAAGCAAAATCAAATAGACTATAAAGTTTATGGAAAAAAAAGTTATATTTCCAAAAAAACCTAGAATAAGGCTCATTATTCTTTTTATAGGTTTTTTAATACTTGTAAATATGACCTTTGTCAATATGAATAATAAAGTAGAATTGATTTTGTTATTGTTATAGCTGTTGTTAATGTTATATTGGTATAAATAATGACTAATTTGATAGTCTATTTGTTAGTAGTATAATATTGTTTTGATTATTATTGTCAAAAAAATTTTTGTTTACATTAATTATTATATAGTATATTGGTTATAAAAATGTTTTGA